TTTCACTAATGGCTCTGTTCAGATGACCAAGCATACAAAGCTGCTTAAAGAAATAAGAAATCGAGATCTTTATTGCTCGACAACGAACCTTCAGAACTACTATCGTCCAGCTGCATAATGTCTAGGAGATCTTTGTAGTCTTGCCTAATTTAAAGGGGATGAATGATTTAGTGTTCTGCTCTCGTCAAGTAATCAATAAATCCAACAAACACATTAATCCACGTATCACCTTCGGGCAGCAGCGATCTTGTTTTTTTACTAATTTCTCATAATTCAACAGTGCTACCACCCGCGAATCTTATGTCCCAAATATGGGCACACGGCTAACGTGAAACCGCTAACGGCAAACCGCAGTTTGCCGTTTGCGGTGAGATGGCCAAACCTCGATCTTAAGGTCTCCGATATCCACAAAATACGCACTAACCTGGAACCTGGACATTGTATTTGTAGCACGCTAACGGTAAGGCCTGAAGGCTCATAAACTCTCGGTATTTATACTTTATGTTTTTGAACTTTTAATTCCAAGAGGTATCAATTTCTTACCAGGCTAGATATCTAACATGACATATAAGTTGCGCTGAAGTCGTGCCCCAGTTGATATCGATCCACCAGACCAACCGTGAGGAAGATGGTCGTTATTACCACCTGAGAAATTGAAAGAAACTTCATAATTTTCTTCCCAAACATTTTCATTCTTTTGACCTTAGTTGCAAAATGTTTTACTTGGAAAGGCTTGGACTTACGAACAAGAATAGTTTGTGATGATGATGATGATGATGATGACTATGATGGTTTATTAAAAACTACACACGGTGGCATAAAATTATGAATTACAGTGTGTTTACNTTGATGATCTATCAGTTGGTCTTTTTTTTTTTCCACGTTGTGATCTGAAGCGAATGAACTGTTTTCGAGTTTACTTCTATGGATTACTGACATATTTTTCCTTGCGGTCGTTAGGTTTACATGAAGTCATTCACTGAAAGACTTTCGAGGAGGCAACGTTTTTTCACAATGTTTTGCAGTGGTTTTCCATTAAGAAGAAGGAGGAATTTGGCGAACAGGCTGCTAATAGTATCAGCAGTTCTATTACTGGTTGTCCTTATGTGCCTCCATCTGGTAATTTTACCATCCGTGAGCGGGGGATACAACGAGGAATGTTACTTGCCAAACGAGAGCCGTCAAGCGTTACGAATAATGGTGAAGAACATTTCACGGGTGTTTGACAAGTATAGTCTTCGGTATTGGCTCGATTATGGTCAGTTCTTTATTTAGTTGTATGTTTATTGTGTGATTGTGACGTGGCTGCACGATGTTAGAAGAGAAGGAAACCAAGGCAGAATTTTGGAAGAATGCATAGTTTAAAAGAATGGTGTTAAGGACTAACGAATTCGTATTGAGGCACCCCGAAAACCCCTTATAATTCTGTTTCTATCGAGATGGAATAATTTTTTTTCTTCTTCACTTTGTGGTGCATTTTGTTGGCGAAATTAGAGATTGTGTACTTCAGCCTGCTCGCACGCTGGCGTGGTTTGCAAACTACTTCTTGTGCGCTTTAAAGTGCACACAAAATCGCTGTTAATGCAGGCTCGAAGAACAGAAGAACTGAATCCAATCAGAAGTCTGCATTCCAAACGGAAACAAGAGTAGAACCAATTACACACAGATAAAGAGGATCGAGTGCAATATGACAATCCATACCTTGAATTTTGATATTTCTTAGGGTTTTTCAGGTAGCATTTCAATGTCGGTGAAAATTAGTAAAATAGGTAAAAATATCATATTTAATAGTGATGTAATTGTATAGCTAGTATTTAATCAAAACTTGTCAGCATAGCTATTATTCTTTAACATTTTAAAACTGTCCGATTAGGAATTAGATTGGAAAGTTTAAAAAAAATTAAAGAATAATAGCTTGACTGAGAATGCCTAATTACAACTGAAGCACAAACTACTAACTGACAAGTTATATAATTGATAACTAGGAGGACTACTGCTTGCCCAATTTTGGGGAAACCATTGGACTCAATCAACTTCACTGGCAGCCAATTGAGGACGGCCATATCCAATTTTGGTCGTCCTCAGAGTTTTTCTCATCCAATGATATCCAAAGTAGACAGCACCTAGTACTATTACATACACCAACTGTTTAGCTAAGAGTCGTCTGAGCAAATGATCGTGAAAAGTTTTATTTATTAACGCAGACACAATTTATTATTACTGCATTATTGCATTACTATCATTACAATTGTTGTTATTGTTATTATTATTGTTGTTATTATTACTGTTGCTATCAAAAGATGTATGATGACAATGGTTTTCTTTCATTTAAGTTCCATGTTACAGACACAAAGGGGCGCGATGACTAACATTCGCACTCAGATTGAAGAGTATTTGATCTTCTTTTGGGTGGATGAACACAGTGCAGCTAAAAAAAACGGTAACAGCATTTAAAAAAGTAAGAATTAGTTATTATTACCTCTTCTAATTGACTTGTGATATTCATCAGGATCTTGAAAATGATCTATGAGACCAATTTTCTCCAGTCGTGACTTCTGTTTGTGTCAAACTTGATCAAGTCTTATAGGTTCTGAAACAATTTCCAGCTTGCAAGAGAGTTTGAATTTTACGAAGTAATCCTACGTATAGCTGAAATATAGGGAGCAAGAAGGGCCTAAATCCTTCAGTATCTTGCGACTTAATTGTTCACACGTATCTATCTTACGGTTGGTCATTTAGGGTTGTCATGTTTGCATGGATTATGCTGGAAAAGAAATCGAAATAAACTTATTTAACGCTTCGTCATCCTAATTTTTCCGGCTGCTTCCTCGAAGTAACTGCACGAGTATACAAACTCTTTTTTGCGGGTTAGGTTAGGCAATCAGAACACGAGATTCGCATCATTTTGCCCGCCTTCAGCGCCCACCATAATGTTAAGCATTCTTCCTTTCTTGGCAAACAATAAAGAAGAATTTTTTCTTGATGTTGGCTAGTAATGCCTACCTCGTATTCTGGCGGGGGCTGGAGGCTTGCGAGGGTTGTGCCTTTGACGAGTGCAGCAGCAAGCACGATCTCCATGATGAAAAAAACCACGAGGAGAGAAGACGTAGCAACCTTCAGCTTCTCTTCATTAGTTAGGGAGATAGTTCTATACTATAGTGCCCTGGTTCGCTCTGTCCTAGAATACTCTTCTTCTGTTTCGGTTTCTTGCCTTCCTCGCTTCCTCATTGACCAGCTTGAAGCTATCCAGAAGAGGGCTATGCTAATCATGTATCCTGACCTCCACTATCAACAGGCTCTTGCTCAAGCCAACATTACCAGTTTAGAGGATAGACGCGCCCACTTATGTCTTAAAGTGTGGCACAATATCAAAAATAATCCGGCCTGCCAGCTGCACCGTCTCCTCCTTCCCGTGCGATCCGAGTGCCACTCTTACCATCTTAGGAGCAGTAGCAATTCTAGCCGTTTTCAGTATAGAACAAAACGCTTTGGTTCTAGTTTTTTCCCAGCAATGGCGAAAATTAACTAATCATAAGGTTTAGTTATCTCTATTATAGTATTTTATTTCCCTCTGAATTGTAAATTATTTATAATAGCCTGTAATCCCAGTCCCTCAAAAACAAA